ATAGGGAAAGAGGGGGAGGCGTATAGAAGATGGATAAAGGAGAAGACAGGTGGAGAGGAGACAGACAGGTGAAAGAGGTGGGGTTGGAGCAAGTAAAGGTGAGTGTAGGTGGGTACCCATGGCCACCCCCTTTGTCTGTAGGAAGTGGGAGGAATTGAAAGAGAAGTTGTTAAGGGTGAGGACGAGTTCAGCTAAGCGGATGAGGGTGTCAGTGGAGGGGGACTGGTCGGGCCTGCGGGACAGGAAGAAGCGGACGGCCTTTAGGCCATCTGCATGGGGAATGCATGTGTATAGGGACTGGATGTCCATGGTAAAGATGAGGTGTTGGGGACTGGGGAATGAGAAGTTTTGGAGGAGGTGGAGGGCGTGGGTTGTGTCACGGATGTAGGTGGGGAGTTCCTGGACCAAGAGGGTCACCTACGTCCGTTCCTCCCACTTCTGAAAGACAAAGGGAATGGCCATGGGTATCCGCATGGGCCCAAGCTATACCTGCCTCTTTGTAGGATACGTGGAACAATCCCTCTTCCGTAGCTACACTGGCCCTATCCCCCACCTCTTCCTCCGTTACATCGATGACTGTATTGGCACCGCCTCGTGCTCCCACGAGGAGCTAGAATAGTTCATCCACTTCATTAACACCTTCCACCCCAACCTTAAGTTCACCTGGACCATCTCCGATACCTCTCTCTCCTTCCTGGACCTCTCTGTTTGTATCTCTGGCAACCACCTGGAAACCGAATTCCATTTCAAGCCCACCGACTCCCACAGCTACCTAGAATACACCTCCTCTCACCCACCTTGCAGCAAAAATGCCATCCCTATTCCCAATTCCTCCGCCTCCGCTGCATCTACTCCCAAGATGAGGCATTCCACTCCCGGACATCCCAGATGTCCTCGTTTTTCAAGGACCGCAACTTCCCCTCCACAGTGGTCGAAAATGCCCTCGACCGTATCTCTTGCATCGCCCACAACTCATCCCTCACACTCCCTCCCCGCAATAACAACCAAATCAGAATCCCCCTCATCCTCACGTACCACCCCACCAACCTCCGGATCCAACACATCATCCTCGGACACTTCCGCCATCTGCAATCTGACCCCATCACCAAAGACCTTATTCCCTCCCCACCCTTATCTGCTTTCCGGAGGGACCACTCTCTCCATGACTTCCTTGTCCACTCCACACTCCCCACCAGCCCCACCACACCCGGCACTTTTCCTTGCAACCGCAGGAAGTGCTACACCTGCCCCTACACCTCCCCCCTCACCCCCATCCCAGGCCCCAAGAAGACCTTCCACATCAAACAGATGTTCACCTGCACATCTGCTAATGTGGTTTACTGTATCCGCTGTTCCCGTTGTGGCCTTCTCTACATCGAGGAAACCAAGTGGAGGCTTGGGGACCGCTTTGTGGTTCACCTACACTCGGTTCGCAATAAACAACTGCATCTCCCAGTCGCTTTCAACTCCCCCTCCCATTCCTCAGACGAAATGTCCATCCTGGGCCTCCACCAGTGGCACAACGATGCCACCCGAAGCTTGCAGAAACAGCATCTCATATTTCGCTTGGGAACCCTGCAGCCCAATGATATCAATGTGGACTTCACAAGCTTCAAAATCTCCCCTCCCCCGACCACATCCCAAAACCAGCCCAGCTTGTCCCTGCCTCCCTAACCTGTCCTTCCTCCCACCTCTCCACTCCTCCCACCTCAAGCCCCACCCCCATCTCCTACCTACCAACCTCATCCCGCCTCCTTGACCTGTCCGTCTTCCCTGGACTGACCTATCCCCTCCCTAACTCCCCACCTACACTCACCTTTACTGGCTCCATCCCCGCCTCTTTGACATGTCTGTCTCCTCTCCATCTATCTTCTCCTTTATCCATCTTCTATCTGCCTCCCCCTCTCTCCCTATTTATTTCAGAATCCCCTTCCCCTCCCCCATTTCTGAAGAAGGGTCTAGATCCGAAACATCATCTTTCCTGCTCCTCTGATGCTGCTCGGCCTGCTGTGTTCATCCACCTCTACACCTTGTTATATCAGTTTCTCCAGCATCGGCAGTTCCTACTCTCTCTGTAACAGTGGAAACTGTGATATTTTTCAGTTAAAGAAGAGATCAAAGCCAAATGTACTATGCAGCATTTTCACCCCTAAACCTTCTCAGCCTTTTTTAAGTAAACAAATGACCAATTCTCCAACAAGTCCAATTCTAACACACTGACACCTCAGGTAGGGAAAAACATTTTTTTTTCATCCAATGTGAACAGGTGCAATTTAAAATTGCGGACAGCAAAGACCCCTACCCCAAGTCAGCAAAGTCTAGTTATACAGTGCAGATTTGGCTCAGATGAAGTCATACGTCCAATCTGTGATTAAAGCCTGAGCAGAGCAAAGGGACTGTTCCCCACTAGGTTAAGTCTGCTGAGAGCAGGAACCTACGAACAGTCTAGCCAAACAGCTATATTTACCCCTTTGGGCCATACAAGGAAACATTTGGCCTCCCAGGTCTGGGATATAACAAGCTTATCTGTTTACCTTAGTACTTAGAACATAGAACATAGAACAGTACAGCACAGTACAGGCCCTTCGGCCCACGATGTTGTGCCGAACTTTTACCCTAACCCTAAGGTCTATCTAACCTCCACCCCTACCTTATACTATCATCCATATGCCTATCTAATAGCTGCTTAAATGCCCCTAATGAGGCTGACTCCACTACCCTCTCCGGCAATGCATTCCATGCCCCTACCACTCTCTGAGTAAAGAACCTACCTCTGACGTCTCCCCTATATCTACTTCCACTCACTTTAAAACTATGCCCCCTCATAATAGCTACCCTGATCCTTCTTTGTGATCCTCAGCAGCTGGCTGCAGCAACATGATTTTGGTGATAACACAACCACTTTGAGGTATCTGCTGACTGCTACTCCTGATCTGTTTGTACTTACTTTGCTGAGTTCCCACCAGGAGTAAAGAACTTCCGATAGCCTGGGTGGATCTCACCTCCTATTTTGTTTCGCATGAATGTTCACATTTCTATCTAGCATAAAATTTTTATTTTCCAATATTCAACTTGACTACACAAACTCCATTTTGAGGATATTTTTAAGATAATCTTTAGGACATATTTCTTACTGGTATAAATGGCTACAAACCACTATGTTAGCAGATTTATTATTTTAGCACGTGGTCTGAGTGGGGAACTATGATATATTTCTGCCAAGTCGTAACTGCTGGGATCAGATGTCTGTTCTTTGGGAAACAAAACAGAATGTGATGTTTTTATGCGTTACTGCCAGATATAAATAGTTTTTTTATGATTTTACCCTGGCAAATGCAATGTGGCTCTCTATGTCTTCACAGGAACCTGGATCAATCCAATTTAATAAAAACTGAAAGAACCGCAGATGTTGGAAATCAGAAACAAAACCAGAAATTGCTGGAAAAGCTCAGCAGGTCTGACAGCATCTATGGAGAGAAATCGGAGTTAACATTTCAAGTCCAGTTAACATTTCAAGTCCAGTGATGTCCAGTTAACATTTCAAGTCCAGTGATCGAGGAAGCATGTCAGATGCTGTCAGACCTGCTGAGCTTTTCCAGCAATTTCTGGTTTTGTTTCAACGCAATTGAAGATTAGGCAATGATCACACTCAGGTTATTGTAGTGCTGCCTGAATTGTTGGACTTTCGTGAAGTTGTGACAGAATCCTTATTGGAACAAAGCTGTCAGGTCAAATCTCTAAACAGAGCTGAGTTCTGTAGTTATGGCTTGGTTATTCAACAAGAATATTTGAATAGGTATGAACGTGGATAGCCTGCTGCTCAGAAACAGAGCTGATGTGTTCTTAGATCTTTCTTCCACCAAGATGGGCAAATTCAAAGATGGCCCTAAAGGTGGGTCCGTACGTACAACTTTTGAGTGTTGAAATTGTAGCTCTCAGCATGGAAATAGAAAACACAAGGTAAAGAAACACAAATCATGCACAAATTCAAGGCAAAATGTGCACCAATAACAGATCTAAGCGAAACAGCACAGAAAATAAAAGGAAGGCAGCCAACATAATCAAAGACCCCTCCCGACTCTCTTCCACCCTCTTCCATCAGCAGAAGATACTAAAGTTTGAAAACACATACCAGCAGATTCAAGAATAGCTTCTTCCCCACTGTTATCAGATTTATGAATGGACCTCTCATATGTTGGAAGTGATCTTTCTCTGCACCTTCTGTGTAGCTGTAACACTATATTGTGCATTCTGTTCTATTACCCTGATGTACTTATGTAAAGTATGATTTGTTTCATTAGCATACAAAACAATACTTTTTACTGTATCTCGGTACATGTGACAGTAATAAATCAAATCTAAAACTACAACTCAATAATCCAAATGTCAGCAGTGATTATTGCCACTTACCTTTTAGATAACAAACTGTACATTTATCATACTTGTTTCGCAATGCCACCTGCTGTGATGGCATTGTACATATTCCCTCCTTGTACTGCAGTGGTGATATCCCTGTGTCTGAACCAGCAGGACTGTGTTCAAATCCCACTTGGTCCAGCAATGCATAATGACATCTCTGAACAGGTTGATTACAAAATATCTTGTATGCATTCCCTGCAGGTACTCCAGGAATTGGCAACAAATCACCAGGGCAAACCTGAGCTTGTATGTACAAGCTGCCTTGATGTCAAGGACTTCTGAAAGATTCACTTTAATGTTCTGTGAGGTGGTAAATATTCTACCCTTCCATTGCAGGTTGTAACACCTTAATTCATCCAAAATGATTGACGTTGACATCAATTAGTTTATTGTAACCAATCAGAACCCTGTGCTAAACATTTCAAATTAGGTGGGGTCTGTGGAAGACTATAGCAATTATCCAGATACTTTGACGAGTAAACATACCCTCTAGGTGACTGCCAGCTAAGAATTGCAGTCTATTTGGCTCCAGATGTGCACTGAAAGAGTATCAGAATGGAGTAAAATATATTTTTTTGAAATGTATTATTTAATGTTTGCTACTTTAAACAAAAGAATCCATCTTAATTATTACATCATGCTACAGATTACTTAACCATCACAAACAAGTGAAGTTACATAAGCAAAAATGTATTGTACAATTATACATATATACATTCACTAAAAAGCACAACTACTTGCTTATTTTATATAAAAAGTTACTTAACAGAGCCTTAAGGCTCCTTGGGTCTTTAAGGGGTGATTCAATGTGAATGGCATCATACTGCTTTTCATTTTACATAAAGATTTGAGTAAAATTTCTACTCACATTTATAAGTACCTGATCTGACAATCTTAAATATATATTTTAAATTAAGCCTGAATATACCAGAGACTTACACTCTCCAAATGTCAATTCAATTTACCAGAATGCAGACTGAATAACGTATTAGCTAACATAATTTGAAATACATATAGAGTGAAGTGTTGGTTTGTTCAGATAATGGGAAAAATGTGGCTGTTATATAGTTCATACTCATAAACAAAGATATATATTTCAACTATTTACATGTCTCTTGATTTTATCTTAACACCGTGTGCTCTTACCTGAGTTGATGACAGCAGATAAAAGTGACATTCGCTTTCAATCAAATCAAACCTTTCAGCAGTTTACACTGAATTGTATGACCATTTAATTCTCAAAGCTAAGGACAACTTCTTTATTGATGCGCCCATCAGATTTGGGACTACACTACAGGGTGCTTTCAATTATATTTACATCAGCATTGCAAACATTCATGAGTATTTTTAGACTAAGATGCAATCATGCATGTTTGAAGCTTGTAGCTTGTATGAATGAGAATGGATCGGGGCTAACTACCAGAAAGAGGTATAACATGCAGAATTAAATATTGTGGTTTTGCATAATCAAACACGATATGTATATTCTGGTTCAAAATACAGAGTCTTCACTTACAGGCATTTGTGCATGAAATATTTGAACTACAACTGAATATGCCACATTTGTTTATGTGCTACTGTACACTTTTGAATTTAACAACTCACATTTGATCATTCACTCAGTTCTGAATTGAATATGGCTACAACAATACAAAAGCAAAATACTGCAGATGCTGGAAATCTGAATTTTTTTTAAAAGTGCTGGATTAAAGGTCACAGCCTGAAACATTAACTCTGAATATGCCTGTTTTATATGTGTGCCTCAAGTGGCTATAAATGCCCACTAAAAAAACTGAAGTAATTGTATATGTTTGGCTGAGCCTCCCTCATTATAGATGTGACATTTTTAGGGCTAGCGATGGAAACTTCTGAGTGATTCTGGGGTGACTCTCAAGTCATTATGATTCATCTTTGATGATTTGATCAGGTCTGGATGTTTTATCAAGTTTAAGTGGAAAGGCAGGGAGGGATGCGATTCATTGATATAGGCTGGTGATTCGCCTTGTAACATAAAAGCTTTAAGCAAAATCTTTACGACAATTCTTTATTTAGGAGGCTTAACACTTTTAAAGGTATAGCATCCTTTTATTTTCAAGGAGCTTTCTGATGAAAGAAAAAAGTACTTGTACTTCCAGAGTGCCTTTCCTGATGTCACAAATACTGAATAAATTATTTTGAAATGTAGTTACCATTGTTCTGTAGATGACCATAGTGTGAAAATAGTTCTCCAATATCTTCCTTGGCTAAAGGTGTTTTGGTGACTGTGACTGGATCATTGCAGTAAGTAATGTAACTACTTCAACAGAACCTTTTACAACAGACTCTGAGTCTTATGTTAAAATTGGCACTAAATGTGAGGTATAAAATGATAGTATTGGTAACATCTTCCTCTCACCTATTAGGGAAATGTTTGTAGAAAATATACTGTGAATTCTAGTAATAACAATTTTTTGTTTAGAAAGATTCCTTCTGGCAACTTTCATCTTAGAATAACGAATATATTTTCTGCATAAACTTCAGTTCAAACTACAAAATGTGCCTGCAAGTTATTGTATTTATTTAAACTACCCACAAACACATTTGAAATGGTTATCTTTGCCAAATCACATTTATGTTTAAAACAGATTAGAGGTAACATTGGTTAGCAGTAGTATAAAGTTGTGACATTGGAGAGCCACCACTTATTCACCTCTTTCATGTAAAGGTGAATCGTGGATGGTGCACCTTTTTAACTGTCTTACACTAACGCAGAATTTAAGGTTAACCCCGTGTGTAACTCTACAAAATTGTTATTTTTAGTTTTCTTTAATCAAATGTTCATCTGCATCCAATATTAGTCTGCTGCTCAGGGTGTGCACTCGATACTTCATAAAGTTGATGGAAAATATTATCAAAAGTGTCTAGTGTTTGTAGTAATGCTTGCTTCTATATCGCTGATTAAAAACTAGGTAAAGGTTGTTCTTGAAAAGAAGACACAGTTAAATAATACGGAAAATATCCATCAATTTTCACAGAAATTCTCACATTTTCAACATTTTCTGTAGATTCCAGTACTGTACAGAAATACTTGTTATGAACTGTCTACATCTATTACATTTTATTCTTGTGTCAGCGATGAGATTCTTGGTTCCATAATCATATGTTTTCGGAATAAATCTAGTTGTTCTGTAAGGGCCTTAATTTCTTGCTGTGCCTCCAATAACTTTGTTTGCAGACTTGTATTTTCAATGTGCAACTTTTCTTTCTCTTCTCGAAGTAGAGTTCTTTCCTAAATCAGCAAAAGAACAGAGAAGCTATAAGTATAAATGAGCTTCCAGAGGAAGTGGTGGAGGCAGGTACAATTACAACATTAAAAGGCATCTAGGTGGCTAAGTGAATAGGAAGGGTTTAGAAGAAAATGGGCCAAATGCTGGCAGATGGGACGAGGTCAGATTGGGATGTCTGATTGGCATGGATGTTGGACTGAAGGGTCTGTTTCCGTTCTGTATGATGCTGACTCTATAATTATGCTGCTACATCTTTGCCTCCCCAGGGACCTGGAAATTGAGAACCTGTACTGCACTCTTAAGACTGCTGTACTCAGCTAGACTGTCCCTACTCTTGAGTTTGCTGCAGCTCTCTATTTACAAGATCTAAAATTGGGCTGTTATCTGAGCCTTAGGAGTTCAGATTACATTTTAACGTTGGGAATACTGACTCTAGGTCTCTGATGCAGTTCTTCTGATCATCTCTTCTCAAAGTCTGATTTGCACTTGCCTCTTGATGTCAGCATTACAACATCGTGTATGTCATCATCATTAACATATTCATTCCCATTATACAACACTCCGGAGCTGAGGCAACATCTGGGTGCCAGAACTATCCCCGGAATCATTGTACCATGGAAAAGGAAGCATTGGTCAGTTTCTGTTCACTAGCCAGCAATCCCAAATTGAAAATTACACATATTCTGAACACCTACAATTCATTTCACATTACATTTGTAAGATGCTAATCTGCACAAAGCCCTACAGCTATATGGGTAGAGTGCATTTGTAAATCATCATTGATATGAAACTGGGCACTTTACTAATGTACATTGTGAAGCTACTTTATTAATGAGAAACAAAGTACAAAGCACTTAAATGCAAAAAAAAAAAATTACTGGACTGTAAAAGGAAGGAAAACCCCAAGGATGAAAAGGAAAGATGGTGATGTAGTGACAATATCATTGGATTAGTAATGTCCATGGTAGCTGGACAGCTAGCCTCAAAAATGAAGGCTCATGAATCTATCATCAATTCTGATAAAAGCTCACTATTGTCCTTCAGGGAAGGAAATCTGCCATCCTTATTAATCTGACCTACATGTGACTGCAGTCCCACAGCAAGGTGGTTGACTCTTAACCACCCTCTGAAATGGCTGAGCAAGCCTCTCACTTCAAGGACAATTAAGAATGGGCAACAAATACTGGCCTTACCATTAACACTCACATTCAATGCAAGAATACAGAAGAAAAAGTTCTTCCCAGCTACTACTGTACTTTTCCAGTTGATTGACTCCCATGCTTGCTAGACCCTGGAACTGCTCCAGGATATATTATCCTCTCAAGGTCAGTGAAATCCATGAAATGGCTTGTTGGTCCTCTGATTTCATTTTCAAAAAGTAATGACTTAGATATAAACATTGAGGTTTATATTTAACAGTATAACTTTACAAACAATATGCTGCATTAAGCAAAACATCATCTAGACTTTATCTTTTAAGTGCCTATTATATTGTCCTCTGTGACTCTTGCTCTAAAATGAAATTGTATTTGTACCTTTTCTAGTTGATATAATCGATGCTCCTTGCTAAAGTCGTCATTTTTAGGTTTGTGAAAGGATGCCATATTTTCCCATTTCACACAGGGTCTTCTGCGAGCTGGAATAGGACTTGGACACAATGGAAGTATGTTTGGGGATAACAAAGATGTGTCTGATGTCTTCATTCTTCCCAAAGAAGTTGCTTGATTTCCAGTGGTATCTGTGTCTGAGCCAGTTATATCAGTCTGCGTGGCCTTGTTCATAACAACAGGCTTCAATCTCACTGAGATCTTCTGGGCTGAGCCCCCCATTAGTACAATAGTGCGATCTTTGCGTTCAGAATCATCATGCACTTCCTCATTGAAGTATGTAAATGGTCCATCTTCATTTGCTGCAAAAATATTAATGTGAAAGTTGTAACAACATTTTTAAACTGAGTGAAATATACGTATGAACTTCAAGTGGTTATTGCAAATAAATCTTTTTATTATCACATGTATAGTTTCCACAAGATAAGTGACCTTGATGGGCATCCAATTTGGAAAAGAGAAGGTGTGGATTGCATTGGATTACTTAAATTGTACAGCAAAGAAACAGACCATTCACCCAAACTGATCTTTGTCACTGTTTACGGTACACACAAATCTCCTCAAACCTCTCCTCACTTCATTTTATCAGCATTATCTTCTGTTACTTTTTCCATTGTCTGCTTATCTAGCTTCCCCATAAATACATCTATACACCTTGACTACCTAGTTCCACATTCAAAGCAACATCTGAGTAGAACGTTTCTGCTGAGTTTCATTTTGGATTTATTAATGACTACATATCGCCACTAGTTTTGGTCTCTTAACATGTGGGGAGCACCTTGTCTAAATGTTGCCTTTCATAAGTGGATTTACCTCTTAAAGGTCACCATTCGGTCTTAAGTTTCCTAGAGGAAAGAATCTTTTGAGCTTGCTGATGGATTATTTTTAAATGTTCATAAGATGTGGGTGTTGCTGGCTAACCTAGCACATATTACCCATCCCTAATTCACAGAGGACTGTTAAGAGTCAAACACATCGTTGTCTGTCTGGAGTGACATGTAGATTAGACTAGGTATGAATGGCAGATATTCTTCCCTAAAGGGCATTAGTGAACTAGGTGGATTGTGTAGACCATGGTTACATGGTTGCTATTAGGACAGCATTTTATTTCAGATTTTTTATTAAATTAAAACTTCATCATCTGGCATGGTAGGATTCCAAACCATATTGCCAGAACATTAGCTTGGGGTTATGGATTCTAGTCTAGTGTCATTATCACAATGCCACTGTTGCCTTGAGCATTCTAGTATCATCCTTTTAAATCTTTGTTGCACCTTCTAATATGGACATCAGAACCATCTACAATACTTTAATTCTTTCCGATATTATTGCCAATCTCTACTTAGCAGTGAGGAGGTGGTCATGAGCTGAAGTGGTTTGATAGAAGTTTAACACAGCTGCTCTGTAGAAATTGCCTCTATTTATATTAATTGTTTATTTTTTATGGCGTAATGATCTTGTGATTCTAGTTATTGATTTGTATATCTTTGTCCTAGGTCTCCACCATTTCCCAGTCAAAGGTTCTTATTTTCTGAGCAGACCACATTCTGCTCTTCTTCTTACCAATTTGAATGACCCTGAATGTATCTATGTAGAGAACTATTCTACAAGTTTATTAATGTTGTTTTATATTTTGTCATGACATCCCCACTTTTCTAACAAATTTGGTGTCATTTCCTAATTTTGAGAATGTGCTGCCAATCCCTGAGCCCATCATTTGTGTAAATGTTGAATGATAATAATTGTAATACTGATCCTTGTGGAACACCACTTCTCAGCTTTTGTGAATATGCTAGTCATAGTTAGGGGCAAGGACAGAGGTCACAGAGCCAGATGCCACTCCTAGCCCAAATCTCCCGCCCTTCACCTGAGCACTGAAGCTCTGCCCCTCACCCGAGTGGAGCAGCGTTCACCTGAGAACAATGGCCTCGCTCTTAACCTGATCTTAGTGGATTGTATCTACTTTGATCTCTTCTTCTAAAATCATGGTCACAGCACTGTTTTAAATTCACTTGTGGGTCATGGGCATTGCTGGCTGGCCAGTATTTATTGCCTGTCCCATGTTGCCCTTGAAAGTGGTGGTAAGCTGCCTCCTAGAACCACTGCAGTTCATGTGCTGTAGGGAGACCCAAAATGCCCTTAGGGAGACAATTCCAGGATCTTGTGTCAGTGACAGTGAAGGAACGACAATGTATATGCAAATCAGGATGGTGAGTGGCTTGGAGGGTAACTTGCAGGCGGTGGTGTTTCCATGTGCCCATGTTACCATGCTGCCCTTTTCCTTCTGGATGGAAGTGGTCATGGGATTGGAAGGTACTGTCTAGATTTCTGGTGTATTTCTGTAGTGCATCTTCTAAGTAGTACACACACTATGACTTCACAAGTATCGCATGCTCATCCATGGGGGAGCCCATCGTTTCAGTGCAAAAAAAAAACATGGCTGAATATTTGCATTCATCTTCGGGTAGAAGTGGTGAATGGATGATCCTTCTTGGCCTCCTCTAGAGGTTCCCAGTGTCACAGGTACCAATTTTAACAAGATTCACTCTATATGATATCAAGAAACAGATGAATGCACTGGTTACTGCAAAGGCGATGGGCCCCAGTAACATTTTGGCAACAGTATTGAAGACTTGTACTCCACAATTACTTGTGCCCTGGTTATTCCTGTACAGCTACAGTATCAGCATTTAATCACCAACGTGGAAATTTACCCAGATATATCCTCTGTACGAGAAACAGGACAAACGAAAATTTCTGCCCTGCACTTCAATCATCAGTGAAGTGATGGGAGGGACTGTCAACAGGGCTATCAAGTGGCACTTTCAAAGGAATAGCCTGCTGTCTAAAGCTCAGTTTGGATTCTGACAGGGTCAGCTCCTCACCTCATTACATGGACAAAAGAGCTGAATTGAAATGGTGACAATGACTACCCTTGACATCAAGGCAATATTTGATACAATAAGAGCACAAACAAAACTGGAATCAATGGAAATTAGGGTGAAAGCTTCCTGCTGGTTGGCGTCATACCTAACACAAATGAAGGTGGCTGTAGTTGTTGGCAGTTAATCATTTCAGTCCCAGAACATCTCTGTAGGAGTTATTCAGAATAGCATCCTCGGCATAACCATCTTCAGCTGCTCCATCAATGCCCTTCCCTCCCATCAAAAGGTCAAAAGTGGGATGTTCACACTGATGGTTGCAATATTTAGCGCCACAAACAAGACCTTCAAAATTGAAGCAGTCCGTCTCCACTTACAGCAAGACAACATTCAGGCCAGGCTGATAATATTCACACTACACAAGTGGCTGGCAACAAACATTTCCACAAGAGAGAATCTAACAACTGTCCCTTCATTTTCAATGGCATCACATTAATAAATTCCCCAGTATTAACATTGTTAGAGGTTTCCATGGACTAGCCACATATATATATTTATGGCTACAAGAGCAAGTAAGAGGCGAGGAACAGAGGATGGTTAATCTGTGGAATTCATTCAGCAGAAAGCTTTGGAGGCTAAGTCATAGAATAATAGAATCCCTACAGTGTGGGGACTGGCCATTCAGTCCAATAAGTCCACACCGCCCTCCTGAAGAGCATTCCACCCAGACCCATTCCCCTATTCCTGCATTTCCCCATGTCTAATCTACCTAACCTAAACATTGCCGGGCACTATAGCATGGCCAGTCCACCTAGCCTGCACATTTTTGAACTGTGGGAGAAAACTGGAGTACCCGGAGGAAACCCATGCAGACACAGGAAGAATGTGCAAACTCCACACAGGCAGTCGCCCGAGGCTGAAATCGAACCCAGGTCCCTGGCACTGTGAGGCAGCAGTGCTAACCACTGAGCCACCGTGCCACCTCTTAAATATACTCATGGAGTTTATTTAAGACAGAGACAGTTTCTTGATTGTTAAGAGGATCAAGAGTTATGGGAAGAAAGCAGGAGAATGGTTTTGAGAAACATATCAGCCATGGTTGAACAGACTTGACGAGCCAAATGGTTTAATTCTGCTCCTACATCTAATATTCTTAACTCTTCAGTGAGTAACTCACCTCCTGATTCCCTGTATTATGTTGAGTATTTACTAGGTACAAGTTAGGAAAGTGATGGAATATCCCCCACTTGCCTGAATCCATACAGTGTGGAAACAGGACCTTCAGCCCAACAATTCCACACTGACCCTTGGAGCATCCCACACAGACCCATCCCCCTATAACCCACACATCCCTGAACACTACAGGCAGTTTAGCATGCCCTATAACCCACACATCCCTGAACACTACAGGCAGTTTAGCATGGTCAATCCATCCAGTCTGCACATCTTTGGACTGTGGGAGGAAACCACAGCACCTGGAGGAAACCCACGCAGACACAGGGAGAATGTGCAAACTCCACACAGACAGTCAGTCGCCCAAGGGTGGAATTGAACCCAGGTCCCTGGCGCTGTGAGGCTACAGTGCTAACCACTGAGCCACCGTGCCACCAAATGAGTTCAGCTCCAGCAATGCTCAAGAATGTTGACACCACCCGGGACAAAGCAGCCCACAATATTGGCACTCCTTCCACCACTTTCAAAATTCCCCCACTTCACCAACAGTGACAGCAGTGTGTATCATACAAGGTGCACTGCAGAAATTCATAAAGGCTCCCTAACTAGCAGCTTCCAACCCCATGATTCTACTTGTCCTATTATGACCCTTTTTTGCTTTGCACAATCATTCTTTTTATCATTTAATTTCTTCTGCCTTTGACTCTTACCATCCACAGCTCTTTGTTTACTTATCCCCAACTGTTTTGCTTCCTCTTCACTCGCCTAAAACCTGTTATACCCCTAACATTTTCTAGTTCTAATAAAGGTCATTGACCTGAAGCATCATTAATATTGTCAGAATTGAATAATATTTCCAGCTTTTTCTGTTTATATTTCATCTTTCCAGTCTTTATAGTACTTTACTTTGGTAAAGGATTCACCATGATTTTATTGAACAGCAGAACAGGCTTGTGGAACTGTTTGGCTGACATCTCCTATTCCTTATTTTCTTGTGGACGTCACCACATGCCATCAATGTAACACTTCTTCGGCATCACACTGAGTACCAGACTCAATTCTGTGATGTCTCGGAGTGATATTTGAAACCACAATCCTATGACTCAGAGCTATACACTTCGACACCATGGGATAATTTCATGAAATAACACTCCCAGTATGAACTCCAGAGACGGATGCAGGTGGGCATTTTGAGGCAGGTGAATGGATGAATCCAACAAGAGAAGCTCTGATTGATTTTCACTCCT